GGTGGGAGTAGAAAAAATAAATTTTTGGTACTAAACAACATTTTATTTATTCTAACAATAATTTGTTTTACTCATTTTAAATGCATAATAAATAAAATAAAAACAATTAAACCTTTTAGCATAATAACATATAATTTTTTTACTGGGTAATCGGGCCATAGTTAATAATTATGTTTTGGTGTGTAAAACGGGCAATTACATGTTTCATTTTTCTGGCATCTGTACCGAACAGCAGATGTTAAATTGGATCAAATGGAAATAAAAATTTATAATGATACATATTAAAACAAACGACCAGTAAAGCAGCAGTCCCATATAAGATTTTATGTATATACTATGCTAAGGACAAAAGAAACGTGTTTTTATGTTTTCTAAGATTTTCTTATTCTTATGTGGATAGTGGATTTCAAATTTGCGGAAGAGGTCACTTAATAGTTGGAGTCTTCTTCTTTGACCATTAAGGAGTAATTTCACTTTTCTTTTAAAGAGGTTTTTAAATGCTATAGCAAGAAAATGTGATGTCACTCTCTATTTTGATTACATCCTTTAATTATACCTACTTTAAATGGTGTAAAGGAAATACTTTATTTGAAGGTGAAATTTTTCGCAATCACAGAAACGTAATTGATGAACATATGTATTTTTAAATGTAACTCATGAGTTCTATGGGGCTCCGTCTTATTTTTTATTTAGAAACTATTATTTTGTGTTAATTTCCAAAGTGATATTTTAAATTTTAAAGTTTTTTAGTTAAACATTCAATATTTTCATTTTAATTTTTGTATTTTTAAATGTATATATACGAGGTGTATTCAGAAAATAACGGAAATTGTTAAATTTCGCGGGTTCGGAGGGTCCGGTTGTCATAAAATTTTCTTTATTATGTTGGTATACATGCCCCCGAAGTATGATAAAAACTTTAGCTGTTTTCATTGTTTACTTTGTCTGTGGCAGCCGCTAAGGTTAGACGTGTTTTATGAGCTCGGCGATTTTTCGTTCGTTAAAAGAAATGGATCAAAGAATTTGTATCCAATTTTGCTTAAAAAATGGAATAAATTCTGTGAAATGTTAACAAAGGCCTATAGGGAGTCTGCTATAAGTAAAATAAGAGTTTACAAGTGGTATAAGAGTTTCCAATATGGCCGTGAAGACGTTGAAGATGACGAACGCCCCGAAAGCACAAGTACATTAACAACCGATAAAAACATGGAAAAAGTGGAAGAAATGGTTATAAACCATCAGAGAAGTCGCTGATGATGTTGGTATATCGATTGGCTCATCCCATGAAATTTTTTCGAATGTTTTGGGTATGAAACGCGTGGAAGCAAAATTTGTTCTAAAATTGAACAAAATTTTTGGCCAAAAACAATACTGTAATGATGCCCCAGCCTCCATATTCGCCAGACATGCCTCTGTCTGACTTTTTCCTATTCCCAAAAATAAAGAGAACCTTAAAGGGCCGTTGTTTTGCAAGCATAGATGACATAAAAAGCTCATCGCTGAAAGAACTAAAGGCTATCCCAAAGATCGAGTTTTGGGGACTATTTTGAAGGCGACAACATTAATGTACACGAATAAATAAATATTTGTTTCAAAAAACGAAAAATCCCGAAATTTTCTGAACACACCTCGTATATGACGTTAGTTTGTTGTTGGAATGGGTCGGTTTTTGTGGCGTTTGGAATAACAGGGGTGTCCAAACTCTCAATCATTCGGAATAAAAAATATCTCCTTATTTATGATAGGAAATTAAAAATATGTGTTTAGCAAAAAATTACAAATATAAGAAGCAAATATTTTAAATGAACTAAATAAAAATATCAGTTTGGCAAAAAAATTTAATCTAATTTTAAAATATCTGCTATGATATTATTAGCAGAATAAAAATTCTTTTGTCATTTTTCTTATTTAATTAAATATATGTATCACTCTAGGGTTAACACATAAAATTAGAATTTTATTTTTTTTTAATTACAAAATATAAACAGATAACTAAATAATTCACACTACTCAATAATTGTTTACACGGTTCGGGCACCTCCATGTTCTTTATTTATTAACCGTTAAATTGTTTAAATTAATTTTTTTCAATGCGGTTAATTTGTTTGTGCTTTCGACATACATAAGCGACGGTTTTACTTTATCAACATTGGAATTAACATGTAAAAATTGTCGTATTGTCGAGTTATTTTATCACTTTCGATTTAAATGACCGAGAAAGTTGAATTTGTTGTGTGAATTTTAAAAATAAACAATTGTTGTTTTATAAAAACGACTAATTTTCATATTTGTTGCTTTGAATACCTAAATATGTAACTGGTTTAAGTTTTTTATTTTAGTTCATAAGAAGAAATGGTACCTATTATTGTTAGAAATCACATTTTACAAATATGTTTAGTTTTAAAAAATATTTATAAAAAACTTACACACGTAACTCCAGATGCATTTTTTTTATCTGTGAAGGCCAGGAAAAGGGGAGTTTTTCTATTTTCCCAACATTTTATTAAAATGGAAATATATTAATATTGATTATAGTTATTGTATTAAAAGTATTAATACTTTGCGACAAACTCGCTAGATATATATATTAATTAATATTCTGCAAGCATTTCTCTTATCACCGCTTTTGTTTAATTTCGTTCAGGATCTCATACCAGCATCGACAGACGCGTTTCGTTCTGTGGAACTCATCAGTGCCGAGTTGCTATAGGCTTGAGACCCAAACGAAAACTTTAATTCCCTTCCTTATATTGGAAAGGAATAGTTCAAAAGCGGTGAGAAGAGAATTTGCCTGCACAATGGTGCCATCTATCGTTTTTCAACGCGGTCTTCTATATGTCATGACATTATCTGTTTTCGTTTGGGTCTCAAGCCTATAGCAACTCGGCACTGATAAGTTCCACAGAACGAAACGCGTCTGTCGATGCTGGCATGAGATCCTGAACGAAATTAAACAAAAGCGGTGATAAGAGAAATGCTTGCAGAATATTAATTAATATTCATATTGAGTTGTCAAAATTCGTAGTTAAAAATGCAATTATTTTGGCTTTGTCGGTGCGTAGATTATTGTTCCAATTTATTTTTTAAACGCCACTTTAATAGACATAACGCACATTTTCATACTAAACAAATAAGCCTTCTTTCACTTATCATAAGTGAAATTTACAAGGTGATATTAATTTTAAACCCATAAACAAGTAATTAAACATTTTCTTCTTGCCGATAATTTAAATATCGAAAGTAATGAACGAAGCGCAATATTGTTCGAGCAGATGCTGGGTGCAAGTCGCTTAGCCAATGACCTACAAAGTATGGGTAAGTAGACCTTCGTCTTCTTCTCTTAAGATCTTTAGCCTTAGGACTCGAGATGCATACTCAAATAAATAACGCTGGAAGAAAGCACTCCTCTTCTTCTTCTTTTTATTTTGTGTTCATTACCGGCAGGTCGTGAGCCCTGAGATCATCTTCTTCTTCTTGTTCGAGCGAAGAAAGTGGAATTTAAATAGTTGTAAGATAAAACGTCTTTTTATCTTCTTTTTTATGGCTCTGCTACCGGGTTTAATCTTTGATCTCGGCTTAATTCTTTTGATTCAAGTTGTTAGCACCTTTAAAGTCCTGTGGTTCATTGGCGGTTTTTGGGTGGGGCGACTGCACTACTCGCCCATATTTTTTTAAGGGTGATTTCAGTTAAAAATTAAAAATTAATTTTTAAAAATTAATTTTTAAAAAAATTCAAACTGAAATTTCTAATTTTTTTAAAATTAAAGGTAGAAGCATAGCACCTGCTTTTTATTTTTTTCAACAGGTAATTACCGAGTTTTGAATTTTTTTAAAATATCATGCAAATTTTGAGAAATTTTTCCACTATTATTTATATTTATACTTCTGTGCGATTTTTTCCCACATTTTTTTCATTTTAAACCACTGTGCAAATTTGTGGTTTTTCCCATATGATGCAAAATAATAGTTGTTTTTTTTAGTTTTGTGAATAAAAAACGAATTATATAAACTAATTTGTTGGTAATTACAGGTAATTACCTGTTGAAAAAAATAAAAAGCAGGTGCTATGCTTCTGCCTTTAATTTAAAAAAAATTAGAAATTTAGAGTTTTGATTTTTTTTAAATATCATGCAAATTTTGAGAAATTTTTCCACCATTATTTATATTTATACTCCTGTGCGATTTTTTTCCCACAATTTTTTCATTTTAAACCACTGTGCGAATTTGTGGTTTTTCCCATATGATGCAAAATAATAATTGTTTTTTTTAGTTTTGTGAATACAAAACTAATTATAAAAACTAATTTCTAACAATAAATAGAAAAACATTATTTATCTTCTGCAACAAATCGTGACCTTGGAATGACAAGGTTCTAAGTGCAGTTGCGCCGTTAAGCAAAAATGACTTATCTAGAATATTAATTATTGCAGGTAAGGCATTTTTGCTTAACGGGGCAGCTGCACTTAGAACCTTGTCATTCCAAGGTCACGAAATGACAAGATATAAAAATAAATAAAAAATGAATTGCTTTTTATTGTTCACCTATTTCTATAATATAAACCAAAAAGTGACATTACAAACTATTAATAAGTCTAAAATTTTATTAGGACATGATTAATTATAATAATAACCAATAATTTGTCTATAATTTCTTCCTTGCTTATAATTTACATTTCTAATTAATAAACCAACACGATTCTATCTAATTTTAATTACAGACTTTAATGACTTATGAGTAAAACTTTTACTCTTTATATTCACAAAATTTTCATTAAAAAGTTTATAGTAACCTAGTTTACATACAGTCATGGGCAATAGTTTTACATATTTGTGTTTCAAGAAAATGCAAAATACATGTGCACATATCTCGATTGTTATTTATCTAAAATTAATATTGATGATTTTATATTAAAGATCTTAAAATTATCCACAAAAAAGTTCATATACATTTGTTAGCTACAATAAACCGTGTTTAATTTAAAGCATATTTTTTATTGCAGACTTTATACATCCTCCTTCTCCTCTTCACGATATGCTTGGCGTCAGAAGAAGCCCAAAAAGAGGCAGGAGACTGGATAGACATCCACGAAAATACAAAATTACAACCATCACAGTCGTACCAGCATCAAACCCCCGAAGAACCCTCATTTATAAACAAAATAGCCAGTTGGCTATTCCCATTCAACAGCAACGACAAAAACGATCTAGTTGCCGAGTCGGACACGAGCAACTTCCAATATTTACCCCCTTCCCCACCGGCGCATGCGTTCGCGCAACCAGAAAAAGACTGCCACCCCTGCAATAAAGAACCATGGGTTCCCATGGCAACAAATCAACACCAAAATGTGGCACCACCGCCCCAAGTCACCCACTTGGACGCTTTATTACCTCCAAGCAATTACGGTCCCCCAAAGTTTTTCCAGAAGGAACCCTCCAAAGATTATGGCTTCCCCAACCCTTCGCTTACAGCCTTTGGTGCTCTGAATGGTCATAGTGGACCTGCAAGTGAAACTGCGGTGCACGATTACGTCGTACCACCTCCTATAAACCACAGGGATCACGTACAAAGCTTTACAAGACCTAATTTTAAGTATGTAGCCCCGTCAAAGAATTACCTACCCTCCAATACATATGGAGCACCGAATAACAATTTTCCACCGCCTAATAACGACTATGGGCCACCCAAGCAAGCATTCAGACCACCCAGTAACAACTTTGCACCTCAAAAACCCATATATGGACCTCCAAAACCAGTATATGGGCCCCCATCCCCAATGCAATCCTATGGACCACCAAGACCTCAATACGGTCCACCCCCCAACCAATTCAAACCTCCCAGTAACCAATACGGACCTCCAAGACCTCAAAATAATCAGTACGGCCCGCCCAAACCTCCAGTGAATCAATATGGACCCCCGAATAATCAGTATCTCCCTCAAAGTCCATTCAACACCCCGACAACAATTTTGAAACCAATTATGGAAAGTTACGGTGCTCCTCCCGATATACGTCCTCCCCCGATTAGTGGTACCTACGGAGCACCCAATATCAACTATGGTCCCCCCCAAAAGCTTACTCCCACTTCTCCAAGTGGTAATTATGGCCCCCCTCAGCCTATTCCTTCGGATAGTTATGGAGCACCGCTAGCACCAAACGCTCAGGATTACTTTATGGTGCATGAGCAATTGTCCTTATCAAGTGGTGATAGTATCGATGATGTAAGAAAACCCATACCATTCCCAAATTTGAGCAGTTTTCCTGTGGCACCCATCAGGGATCATGGTAACTTTAAAGATACATACGATAATCATGCTGATGATGTGCAAGTTTTGCCCAGCATTAACGTCGCTGACTATTTGAGCTCCATAGAACATCCCATCAATGTTATACAAAGTCCTTTGGTTGAGGTTAATGTCAATGAACAAGATGATGTTAGTGGACAACATCAAAATGTCAATCATCAGCAAAATAACAACGATCATCAGCATAACACCAATGACCATATAAATGATTATCAGCATAACATTAACAATAATAACCAGCAAGTTATCAATGCGCAACAAAGTGGCTCGCCATTCGAAAGGGAACCGTTTGATTTAAACGAACCTTTGCCCAATCAATACCAAGTTGCACAAGATACTCATAATACCTTGTACCAGAACGTCAACTTCAATGATCAAAGATCGCACAATATATACAGTCCACCCCAGCAAAACTACCAAAGTAAAGCGAATCATAACAAGCCAAACTATAATGAAGACCCTAAACTAAGCGAAAATCCAATCATTGTGGAAGACACTCATACAGCTGCTTCCAGCGTTAATTCAAACGTTACTTTGGCGAACCAAACCAAAAGAGACAGTGGTAAATCCTTAAGATTGCCGGAAACTTATCCAGAAGAGAGTCAAGATCAAACAGACGTAATCAAAAAACTTTTGCAAGAGCAAGGCATTTTGGGGGATAGTATTTTGGATATCCAAAAAGTGAACGATCCTAGATTTGCAGGTAATGTAAACCCGCCTACCCCAACACCTCTTGGTAGTAATAATTGGAGACCCAGTTATGCTCCTGAGATGTCACAAAGTCTATTGCCACCTTCACCCGGAAAATCAACTTGGTTACAACCAGTAGAAAGCACGACCAAAAAGCAAATACAAATTATAGTGCCATATGTCATGAACAAAAAGGTGATACCTTTCGAGAAGCCTCAGTTCTACCAAAAGCCAACAAACACCAGAAAAGTACCTCCAAATGGTGAGTTAACAATTTTATATTAACAGGTTTCAAACCTAAACATATTATTTATTTAGGTGGATATACAACCTTACTTCCAATATACACCCCTCCATCCTCAACACAGCAATCGGTGTGGTCCAAATTCATGGAGGACTTTAAATGGTCGGAAAATAAAGCTACTGGTTTCCGGAAACCACAAACAACCCCAGTATATAACATCCAGGATCTAATAGATGAAGGCAAACGTCAAAACGCCCACCACAACGCGAATTTACCGTATGACATAATATCACTGCAAAAAAATATCGACCATTGGACCCAGCAAGAGTATTCCAACAAATTAAACAACTTTGAAAGTGCTGAGTCTACGAAGAAAGAGTCGGTTATCAAGAGTTTATTCAAGCAAGGTAACAGCGAGTCCAGGAAGATTCCAACGGATTATTTGAAGAGTAACAAACATTACGGGAAGTCTCCTTTAAAGAATCTGCTGAAACAGAATGTGGAAGTTAAGAAGGAAACTAGAAAGGAGTCGCTTGTGAAAGCATTGTTGAAAGATGGTAATAAGAAAACAGTTAAAAAGGAGTCAGTATTAAAGACCTTGCTACTAGAAAAAGATGTCGATGTCAGGAAGATGTTGACTGATTATCTTGAAACGCAAGAGAAAGAAAACTCGGTTTATCATAAAGAATCACCTATTAAAACCCTACTAAAACAAACTGACGTGGAAATAAAGAAAACTATCAAAGATTACTTGGACTCCCACCAAAACTACGAGGATGAAACCTCACACGATAAGGAATCTTTGATAAAAAACCTCCTCAAAAATTTTGAAAGCAACTTGGTGATTCCCGAATCAACAACCAAGAACATACCAACACCATTTGAAGTCGCAAAAACAACATGGGACGTAACCAAAGTAACCACGTCACCACTAACCAAAGAAAAAATATACGTGGTTACGCCACAAACATACAAATTTGACTCCACCACCCCCACTACAGCGTGGAGCATGGCTCCAAAAGTGGAAAACGGGAGGCAAAATAACGACACCAATTTATCGTTCATAACCTCAAAATTCTCCGTTAGAGTGGAACATCACAACAAAACTGGCCGTGAGTTACTGAATAAGGAGGAAAGCAACTCTTTGAAGGTTGTGTACAGCGAATGGCCACATATAAGTAAGTTATTGAAAGTTTTATTATTGTGGTGAAAAAACATAATCGGGTGATATTGGTGGCCATATTTTTGCTACTACATTTTTCTTCGGATTTAAGTGAAAATTGATTCAATACATTTATAACAATAAAATAATATTTACTTATAAGTCATTCTGAGTAGTTTCTCTTATTTGGAAGATTTGCATAAAAAAATCTGTAAGTTAATGCCTATTGTACTGTCATGGATTTGCATTAATATAATTACAGTCTAGAAGTATAATGATAGGTATAATATTATTAAATTTTCTCCAAACCAAATTTTATGGTAAATATAGAAATTTATATTACTATATTTCATATTTTAGTTCCCATGTTTTTCCTAATTGCGTCTTTTATAATTGTTTTTCTAAAGTGGACATTTTATTAACTTGTAAATTACAAGTTGTAATTGTTTCTATTTGCATAACAGTTTGCAACTTCCTGAGTAAAATTATAGTGGTAAATAATAAAATAAAAAAGCGAACCCTATAAATTTTATCAAAATTGCCCCGTAAATAAAAAAATTTGACATACTTAAATCGGGGTATCTTGGTGGTCAAAAATTCTAACTCCTGCAATTTGAATGCGATTTTGATGAGATTTTAAGGGTATACCGGCAAAAATAGGCTTACTCCACCACACCAATATTTAAAAAAAAATTTAATAAACATTGTTTATTTTTTAGTCAACAATCTCCAAACCACTACAACCAAAAAACCAACATCATCTCATCCTTTATTTGGACTTATGGACTTCTCATCTTACACACCACCTCCAAATTCGACTGTTCAAACTATCTCAGGCCATTCAAAGGTAAGAAAAGTTTTGTAAAAAAACGCGCCAAACAGTTTTATAAACACTTAAGTATACCTAACAAAAACTAACAAGTAATTTTATTGTAAAATCGTTTTTTATATCTTTCTCACTTTCTCTTTTATTTCTTGAAACAATGAAATACACAGATTATCGTTTATAATTTATTTTTGAGAATTTTCCCAAACAACTAGGTAGACAATTGAAATTTATGGTTTAAAATGTTCTAAAGTAGTTTCATTTTCATTTACGAAAATAGTGATTTTTATACCTTAAAATTTTCATAAAAATGGTTTGTAATGGCGACTTTACATTTTTGGCCACTTAGATTTCCTGATTTAGGTCCATTTTATAATAAATCTTATAAAATACGATTTTTGTTGGTTTTATTTAAAAAACGTTTTTGTGTCTTATAATTTTTATTAGAATATTTTAAATTTATAGTTACAGAGCTGCCTGTAACCATACAAATATTAAGATGATGCAAAAATATTTTATCGAGGTGAAATTGGCGTAATCTTGTTAGTATACCCTGAAAATTTCATCAAAATCGCGTTGTTATTGCAGAAATTACGATATTTGGCCTTCAAGATATCCCGACTTGAGTTTGGGCTACTTTTTTGTTTATAGGACGATTTTGATGAAATTGTTACACTTTACTAATACAAATACGGTATTTTCAATGGAGCTATGAAAAATGTCGTATTTTAAATACAATATTTGTGCGAGTACGTTAACAAAATTTTAAAAAATACCACATTTTTAATAAATTAAATAATAAAAACGTAGTTGTTTTAGTAAACCCTGAAAATTTCATCAAAATCGCACAACAAACAAAAAAGTCTATACCTACTTAAATCGGGTTATATTGGAGGCCAAAAATCGTAACTTCTTTAATATCAACTCGATTTTAATGAAAATTTCTGGGGGTACTAAGAAAAGTACGCCAATTTCACCACGGTAGCAACAATACTAATAATCCTCCTATTTTTATCAAATTTTAACTTTAAATGTAGAAGTTATACTTTCACTAATTTCAAACATATATTAGGACAATTGACTTATGTCTTCGATTAAAATCCGATTAACTTTGTTCTTCTCTATTATATTTCTCAGTAAAATCCTATTGACCTTTACACTGCAAATAGTACACATAAAAATTGCTCGCAAACGGCGAGATTCCGCTTCGGAAAAATCGAAGAAGAAAGAAGAAAGGAGATTTAGGTACGGTAAGCCACGATTGGCGAGTGAAATGAAGATGCATGGCACTCTTAGTTTATTGGGTTAGTTGCTCGTGAGAATTTAAATTCGTAATTAGCTCCCGCTTATTGTTATTAACGTTATTATAATATAATGTAAAGAAAACTTCTAGTTCGAAATGTAAAGAATATTTAAGATTAAGAGATTTAGTGGATCTGTTTTTTTTAAGTTTTTTGATATTTTTATCGAATATAGCGCATTGGTGTTAATATACGTTGAAAGGATCTTCAAAATCGGTTCGTTTGGCACATTTTTTTAATTACTTTTATAATATTTTTTAAAGCACAAGCGATTATAGGGTATACCTCAGAAAATGCGACATTGAAAATATCGGAATTGTATTAGTAAAGCCTGAAAATTTCATTAAAATCGTCCTATAAACAAAAAGTAGCCTAAACTCAAGTCTGGATATCTTGAAGGCCAAATAAGGTAATTTCTGCAATATCAACGCGATTTTGATGAAATTTTTAGGGTATACCCATAAATATTTTCATGGTTACTGAAGCCTGTAACTATAATTTTATTATTATAAAAAATACGACATTTTTAATAGCTTCATTAAAAATATCGTAATTGTATTAGTCAACTCTAAAAATTTCATCAAAATCGTCCAATAAACAAAAAAGTAGCCTAAACTCAAGTCTGGATATCTTGAAGGCCAAATATCGTAATTTCTGCAATATCAACGCGATTTTGATGAAATTTTCAGGGTATACTCAAAAGGTTACGCCAATTTCACCTCGATAAAATATTTTTGCATCACCTTAATGTTTGTATGGTTACAGGCAGGCCCGGACTGGCCAGGTCCGCAGGTCCGCGATCGCGGAGGGCCCCTGCCCGAGAGGGCCCCAAAGGGGTCCCCACATAATGTACAAAAAAAAGTTTTTGTCTTGTTAGAAGTTATTTGGAGTTCTTGGTTATGTGTTTACATTTTCAAAAGTAGAACACGTCCAACAACTGTTTATATCTCGCCATTCATACGAAAGCTTTATACGAGCTACTGTGTTGCGAGTTGAGTTACGTTATTGTGGTGTATCGTCTGCGCGGTCCCCCCTCTCCTACATATAATAACATCCACTCCCACCCCACACCATTGTTTTCAAAAAAAATTATCTGAGTATAGCATTACAATGTCAAATATTATTGCTTGTTCGTTTGATGGAGCTAACAACATGAAAGGCTGTTACAATGGGCTACAAGCCCATTTAAAAAAAGAAAATAAAGACCTTATTTATACTCACTGTATGGCACACGTACTGAACCTAGTTGTAGCTGACTCAACAGTAAAGTTACTACAAGCTGAGAACTTGTTTGGGTTGGTGGAAGAATCTGCGTTATTTCTTACCTCAAAGGAAACAAAAAGAAAACATACTGCTCATGACAAGTTTTACAGAGTGCAAAAAATAGGAGCAACGAGGTGGTGGAGCAAACATAAGGCTATTTCATCAATTGTTGATGTAGAATTCTTAATCAGTGAAGACAGTGTAAATTGCGCTAAATTCTTCAATTTTATTTCTGTTTTTAAAGAAATCTCTGATGGAAGTTTTGACGGCAAATCTCGATTCACAGCAAGAAACCTGATAAGTCAATGGTCCAAATTTGAAAACTTGTTTATGTCGTTTGTTTTACTAGATTTGTTTTTGGTCACTTTCCCTGTTTCTAAGTACTTGCAAAGTAAAACCATTGACTATGCTTTAGCTTGGAAATTAGTACAAACACTGCTCCAGCAAGTTAAGGACAAAAGGAATGACGCGCATTTTGAAGCATTGTATGCAAAAACAAAACCTATGCAAGTGCAGTTAATCTTAAGCTAGACGAAAATGACATTGATGTCGAGTTAGAGTTGGACTTTAAGAGAAAAAGAACGTCAAAGAAAAAATTGATGCCCGGTGAAAAATCAAAAGATGAAGCTGATTCTATTTCAACAGTTCAACATTACAAAGTTGTATATTTTGATATTTTAGACTGTGCGAGGATGAGTATCGAAGAAAGATTTTGCGCAAACAAAGACGTTTTACAGGATTGCTCTTGGTTAGACCCAAAAAAGTTTGACTCTATCTTGAAACTCGAAACATTAGCTGAATTTATTCTTAGCGTAAAACGCGTTTTCAAGCACCTAATTTTCAAAAAATGTCCATACCCTCTCAGACCACCGGTAGAGGGCCCCTTTACAGGTTTTAGCTGAGGGCCCCAAATGGTCCCAGTCCGGGCCTGGTTACAGGTAGCTCTGTAACTATAATTTTATTATTATAATATTTTAATGAAAATTACAAGAAATAAAAATATATTTATTAATAAAACCAACAAAAAATCGTATTTTAATTAAATACATCCTAAAAATGCGTCTGGAGGGTATACCTTAAAAAATACGACATTTTCAATAGCTTCATTGAAAATATCGTAACTGTATTAGTAAACTCTGAAAATTTCATCAAAATCGTCTTATAAACAAAAAAGTAGCCTAAACTCAAGTCTGGATATCTTGAAGGCCAAATATCGTAATTTCTGTAATATCAACGCGATTTTGATGAAATTTTCAGGGTATACTAACAAAGTTACACCAATTTCACCTCGATAAAATATTTTTGCATCACCTTAATGTCTGTATGGTTACAGGTAGCTCTGTAACTATAATTTTATTATAATTAAAATTACTAGAAATAAAAATATTTTTTTTTATAAAAGGGTCAGAATTTCTCAAACGGGCCACCTGAATTAGGTCAAAATTAGTTTTTGATTGTAGATACATTTTTTCGATAGTATTTTACATCACTAACACAAATCCTAAAGGATTTTGTAAAAAAAAAATTTTCAATTGACATATTCATGATATTAAAAGTAAAAGATTTTAGTAATTAAAAAATAAAAAAAAATCATTATGGCTAAACTAATTATCCGATTCCAACGATTTAACTAGCGTTGGAATCTTGTTTTGACAGATTCTTTGTTATTTTTTTCAATTGTACAATTTTCATTTAGGTCGATTTTTTTTTGTTTTTTTTATACCAAATTCGGAAATAATTGCCTTCTGCGCCAGCTATCGACTCGAGAAAAAAAACACATATACTCCAATCATTTCTCGAAATTATGCTGCTGAGAAAAAAAATGGCCCGCAGGTTGACAAAAAGTTATTCGTCCTTTTGTGGCCGCGCGCGGTGTCAGCTCTCGCTCCGAACCGTGTACGCTGTACGCGCTTGTGACGCGACGTCTTACGGTGGTCTGGAACCTGCGGGCCATTTTTTTTCTCAGCAGCATAATTTCGAAAAATGATTGGAGTGTATGTGTTTTTTTTTTTCGAGTCGATAGCTGGCGCAGAAGCCAATTATTTCCGAATTTGTTATAAAAAAAACAAAAAAAAATCGACCTAAATGAAAATTGTACAATTGAAAAAAATAACAAAGAATCTATGTCAAAACAAGATTCCAACGCTAGTTAAATCGTTGGAATCGGATAATTAGTTTAGCCATAATGATTTTTTTTTATTTTTTAATTACTAAAAACTTTTACTTTTAATATCATGAATATGTCAATTGAAAATTTTTTTTTTACAAAATCCTTTAGGATTTGTGTTAGTGATGTAAAATACTATCGAAAAAATGTATCTACAATCAAAAACTAATTTTGACCTAATTCAGGTGGCCCGTTTGAGAAATTCTGACCCAAAACCAACAAAAAATCGTATTTTAATTAAATACATCCTAAAAATGCGTCTGGAGGGTATACCTTAAAAAATACGACATTTTTAATAGCTTCATTGAAAATATCGTAATTATATTAGTAAACTCTGAAAATTTCATCAAAATCGCCCTATAAACAAAAAAGTAGCCTAAACTCAAATCGGGATATCTTGAAGGCCAAATATCGTAATTTCTGCAATATCAACGCGATTTTGATGAAATTTTCAGGGTATACCAACAAAACTACGCCAAATTCACCTCTATAATATATTTTTGCATCACCTAAATTTTTGTATGGTTACAGCTCTGTAACTATAATTTTATTATTATAATATTTTAATGAAAATTATAAGAAATAAAAATATATTTTTTAATAAAACCAACAAAAAATCGTATTTTAATTAAATACATCCTAAAAATGCGTCTGGAGGGTATACCTTAAAAAATACGACATTTTTAATAGCTTCATTGGAAATATCGTAATTGTATTAGTAAACTCTGAAAATTTCATCAAAATCGTCCTATAAACAAAAAAGTAGCCTAAACTCAAATCGGGATATCTTGAAGGCCAAATATCGTAATTTCTGCAATATCAACGCGATTTTGATGAAATTTTCAGGGTATACTAACAAAACTACGCCAATTTCACCACGTTAAACCATTTTTTTACCACACTTATATTTTTCTTGTTACAGGTGGCAACAATAGTAACCCCATACAGCAGGACGAAAGAAAACTTTATTTCGACGTCAACTGAAAAAATCTCAAACGCTCATTAAGAAAAAAGACTAATATTATATAAAGTGGAGTGATTTTTGATAACAGACAAAACGTGTATTTTTAAAAGTGGTGAATGTGGAAATGCCATTAAGTTTTAAAAAGTATTTTTACTAATTCTTAGATTTATCTTCTTTTTTACCAATGATGTATATATGACCTTTAATTATTTATTTATCTATTTTTTATTATGAAATTTGTATACCAGCATAATGGGTTATGTAGTATACAGATTAAAAAACAAATTATTTATATTTTTTACATATATTACTTGTATATATTTATTATTAAAATAAAGTGAATGAAACAAGGTTTAGATTTTTAATAGGTTTATTACATTATATTGGGAAATATTTTAAGAACATTACTCTTAAATAAAAACGCCATAAATAATGTTGGCAATATTGCTATTTAAAAATACAAAAAATTAAAAGTTATTAAGAAATTGGTTTTACTAAATTAGTTGGTAAATTGTCAGAAATTTCCATACAGGACCATGATCTAGCCTGTCTAAAATACGGTAATATTTTTGCTACTTGCATGGACCCCTAAAAAATAAAAATTAAAAAAATGCGTAAAAAAATTCCGTGTTTGGCGTTTCCCCTCCTTTTTAGAAAAGTTTGCAATAGTTTTACCTTGTTTTTTATTGTAATTCGGAAATGATATTTAACTTCGTATATTTTTTATAGATATTTTTGAGATCTTCAATTTTTTTATAGCATTTTCAGTTTTAATCAATTTTAAATGGTCAAAATATAAAAAAAGACAAAATTTAGTCAACTTTTAAGGAACAAAATACAGAAATTTTTGCCTGAAAACAAATATGTTAAAAAATTTTATCTCCACATACTTGTTTTAAAACTTTTATGTCCGGCCATTAGGAAACGAATTATTTATTATTTATTTCTTTCTTTCAGAAAGGGAGGAAATGCCGGAGGGGGGAATTTAGCATTCCAATTTTTTTTTATGGAAAATACAGATTGATTTTATTTGAAAATTTCATTAAAATCGCACTAAAAACAACTTAGTAGCCTAAGCTCAAGTCCGGATATCTTGGCGGCCACAAACGCAATTTTAAGGCGATTTTAATAAAATTTACCTAAACCCTAAATTCGTACCAAAAACTTTTTCTTTCTTCCAGGCTCTTGCCTGAAATAGACCAAAGAGTCCTTAGGGATGGAAATCCTGGTTTTTGAATTTTTAGAAGATAAACTCTCATATCGACTGGGTTGACAGTCAATATCCAATCTCAAAATACTGGTTTTGTAGTCCACACTGAGAGATAACCACAGCCAAGCTAAAAATTACTTCTTAGTAATTTTCAGGTATTTTTTTGGTAACACTACCTGCCATGGGCGATTTTTTATGATGTTTCGGCAAATTTATTTCCACTTGACGCAATTTTAACGAATCCAAAGTCCGGTATCGTAAATTTAAATTCCCGCTCTTGGAGTTGGAATTCAGTTGGAACCAAGGCGTCAATCTACCGGGGGCGTTTATAGATATTAGAGTCCCCAAGTTATTTTTTTGTTGTCTGTACAAAAACAGCACAGTAAAGCCTTCTTTACTGTTCAGGGCACCAGTTACTAAAGTACCATTAGGTAATGGTACATTACCATAGGGAAGTCTAAATTTATATGCAGGGTATTTTTTTATTGGGCCCTCAACCTGGGAAACCCCCTGGTCTTTTGCAGATACATTCATGAGTTTGAATAAATCGATTTCATCTTTAAAATAATACATTTTTTTACGGAATTTCACTTTCTATTAAAATAATAATAACTTACATGGTAAATGACTTGCAGGTGATTTTCCGAAAATGTCAGCTGATTCATATCTCGGTATCTCATTTTCGGTCATTAACTCACAAAAAAACTCATTAAAAACAGAAAATATCACAACTAACGTTAAAATCACATTCGCCATGATTTCCTCTAAAAACAAAAACAAATCAACACTCTTTTGTTTTTATTTTGACAGTTACACCCCCAAATATAACCGAACCAAAAAATACCCACCCTAAATTTATTTTTTATATTTTAAACAATGTTTAAACAACACCTATTTTCATTTTAAAACACAATTCAAGACTGCTGTTTCTATTGTTAGATTTTACCATAACCTGCTCAAAGACCATGCAAAAAACCTTTATTTACGCCAAGTGCGCAACATCTTTTTTATCGATTTACTTGCCAGAAAGTTCAAATATTGCAATGCAACGTTACACAATTTTTACACATTTTTTAATTAAAAATAATTCAACTGTAGCAAACATTGATTGTTTTTAGTACGTTACCTTATTTTGACATTTTTGGATATGTTTTTGCCACATTTTTACATATAATTGTTTATTTGAATTTATTTTTCGATAAAATTTTATATAAAAACGATTTTAATTTTGTTCTACCCTAATGGATATGTCTATGGGTTGTCATTCTACCAATGACAACGTCGTTGGGATTGTTTACGCACATTTCTAGGTTATGTAAAATGTCAAAGGCTGGCTTGCTGCAGCAATACAAAAAAGATGTAGAAAACGTTAAAAACTGTGCCAAAAATTTAGGTTTAAGCGATGGAGAAGTCGACAGGATTATCGAGGAGAGTTTTAGCGAAATAAACGAACAAAAATGCTCAAAAACAAAGTCTCAAAAATGTTTTTATTGGATGAAATTGTTTGGGGTGGTTCTATTTATTTTAATGTTTGTTTATGTGATGTTGAATGTGAATCAAACCACTTCCAGTATTGTGTTGAGGAATGTGCAAGGGTTAATTTATCCTGGCATGAAATTAGTTAGGTTTTTATCAGTGCCAATTATAAAGGTTTTTCCATCGTTAACAGGTGTATATTTTAGTTTTAAAGTTTTTTTTTGTGACGATTGTATTGTAGATTTATATGATGAAAGTTGTTTGGTGGAAAATCCGTTTTTCTATGTTTCTGATTTGGACTGTACACCATGTAAAAAAGTTTATTCAGTTATTGATTTAACAAATATTGATGTTGACGAAACTTTTCAGTCAGGAGGTCCTTTTATTACTATGGTGAGTCTATAAATTTAAAAACTTGGTGACACTTTGTTTGTATAATAATTTCAGACCAATCAAATGCCTGTTAACCTGTCATATCTACAAAAATATATCAAAAACAACATAAATATCTTAACTGAAGATGTTAGACGATTTACATCTAACAACAAAAGTATTAGCACATTAAAAGACTTAATTAACACGAACGAAAAAACAATTAACACCTTAAACTTCCACTCAACATGGAAAATAAACAAAATGAATCCAGCAAGAATTGTTCGCAAAATATTTCCCAGACCAAATTTTATATCGAAATGGTCGGGTCAAAGTGTAGAGAGGTTTATAATGGTGGACAGCCCTAAATCTGAGCCCTACTTGCTTCCAAACACTGAGTGTGGTTACGTTTTCGTGGTACAAGCCTTTGGGCAAAGAACTATAGTATTAAAACCTGCCAATGAATGTAAAAGGAGTTGCAAAACGCTTTCTGTTGTTTTAAAACAGTCATATGTTTGTAAGTATTAGGAACTACAAAAAAATTGGGTTGGTAATTTGTTTGTTTTCTAGTGTCATACAATTGGTGGTATTGGAGACCTATAAGTCTTCCTATGGAGAATTCTACAGAAACTTCCATTACTTATGTAAATTCTTACTGCTAAAACTGCCATATTACAAAGAAAACCATTTTGTATTTAATAAATTTATATTTACACAAAAAAATATTTTTTTAAACCAAGGTATTACAATTTTTCAGTGAAGAATTTACCAAAAAGTCCTTTGAAATAAATATTTTTAATTCAAGACGTCTATGGTTTATTTTTCTATGTTTTATATGTCCATGATAAATTTGTCTAAGTTTTATAGGTCTATGATTTTAGGACTTCTTATGTGTGGTAAGTATATGATAAAATATAGATAAATTAACCATAGACATATAAAATATGGAAAAATTAACCAGACGGAAAATATAGAAGAATAAACCATGTTACCAACATATAGCCGTTAAAAATAAGTATGTAAAGGCGTAAGTAGAAATGTGTTAACCTTTATTACTTAATATTAAAGTTAATACATTTTTAGTGATGTAGAGTGGGGAACGTTCCCTTCGTGCTGTGGCGAATATTCGCGAACGTTCGCGCACAATTAAATCGTTCGTGCGCGCATGATAAATCGTTCTTTCGTGTCCAAAGTTTGGACTCCAAACGATTTATCGTACGCGAACGTTCTCTAGAGAGTTTTGAGCACGATTCTGGCCAATCGGCGCGTTTCATCCGCGTGACCGCGTGTATTGCACATAATACAGCCCTGGTAATATCTTCAAATAGTTTACAAACATGCAAAAACTACTGTCGGCAACGGTATCACAAACCGCCGGTCTCTTGTGGCGATGCCTACCGTAGTTTTTGCATGTATTTCTATGCGGCTGTTGCGTTTTAAAAATATTTTGACTATTTTGATTTTGATTCAGTTAACACATTCGATTCGTTGCGTAAAGGTCAGTGCTCGGGTCAGTGTGTGTAATTAGAGAGATTGGGTAGTGTTATTTTTTTTTGTTTTCCGCGGGAAACTTAAATATTTGATTTAATAAATATGCCCAGAAGAAAATGCGAGGCATTTGATTTTTTTTTATAAAAAGTTTTTTGTTAAGTTACCTAAATTTTTACATGATGTTTCTACATCACGATACTTATGTACTTTGTATGCTACTTAAGATGTTACTTAAAATTTTGCTATTTTTTACTTAATAAAGTTTTTTTTAAGTTAGAAGAAATTATTGTATTATTTACAACCCAGAATTTTAGCATTTTGAGAATTTTGAGCATTTTCGGAAAAAACCGAAAAAGTAAGTTTTTGAATACTTTAACACACCCCAAACATAAATTCTCGGGTTTTTTTCGTTTATGCTCGTTTATTCTCGTTCATGCTCGTTTGTGCTCGGGGAACGTTCTTTTAAAATACGTGCTCGAGAATTTTACATCACTATACATTTTTGCTTACGTATGTTTAACGGCGATATAAAACCTGGAAAAATAAATTATTGACATACAAAACATTACATTTAAAACATAGAAAAATTTACCCCTATGGTTCTAACGGCCAATGTTTTAAATAAATTTAAAGTTATAATTTTTAATAAAGTCAAAATTCATCATGAAATTCGCCATTGACCTTTTAAACCAGGGTTTTAAACAATGTATAAACCATATACTTACATATATATACTTACATATACTTATAGATATATATATATATATACCATGGTAAGTATATGGTATAAACATATATGTTTATTTTCTATTGAAAAATATACCATAGACCTATAAAACATAGACAAATTATAATTTATATACGTTTTACAAACCATGGACTATAAAATATAGACAAATTAACCATAACGCACTACTATCCAACTTCTAAAATCCTAACCTAACATTCTTTAAGACAATTTTAGCACTACAGGCTAAATGTAGCAAAGTATTCCTCAAGGTTATGACGATTAGCTGTCATTTTGGTTTTGCACTGCATTGTGCCATACCAACCCAACCGACCCCGCCCCATTGGGCCCCTCCCGCCCCATTGTCACATATTATACCTCTATTTCCCAATGGGTCGGTTGGGTTGGGTTGTTAAGTTTGGGTTGGTTTGGTATGGCACAATGCAGTGTTGCCAACCAAAAATCGGTCTAGGAGGTAGATATAATTTTAAAAGTTGGTAGTTTCCAACAAATCTTACTTTGAAAAGTTAGTAGATCTACCACCTATATTCTTCGAGTATTCCAGAGACTCCAAAGTAAGAAATCTGGCACTTTGAATTTATTTTTTGATGGATACAAAATATTTTAAGTATTTTTATAAAAAAACAATAATAAAGCAGAATTACAGATTGCCAATATTCAAAATAAGAATAGAAAAAGTCATTTCGACCGCCTTATCGACGCCGCATCTCGAGGTACTTCTTCGACGAGTCGAAGAAGACGCGGCTCGATTCTTCCGCTTTGTCGTCGTCGAACGCGTCCCAGTCGGCGTAGACTTTCAAGCCGTAGTTGCCGCGCAGCTGCGCGCACGCGGTCAGCTTGCGCAGCGCGTCCGTCGTGCAGGCGTAACTTCGAAACGGGAAGAGATACGAAAGTGCGGTTTGATTTTTTGGAATCAGCGTGCTCGAATTAGTAAGGAAAAATTATTTTTGCAACTTTTTTTTTCAAGTTTTTCAGAAAAAATGTCATAAGGGGGGACCCTTTTGACAAAAATATCGCGATTTTCGAGTGTAACTTCGAAACGGGAAGAGATACGAAAGTGCGGTTTGATTTTTTGGAATCAGCGTGCTCGAATTAATAAGGAAAAATTATTTTTGCAACTTTTTTTTTTCTTGATTTTCAGAAAAAATGTCATAAGGGGGGACCCTTTTGACAAAAATATCGCGATTTTCGAGTGTAACTTCGAAACGGGAAGAGATACGAAAGTGCGGTTTGATTTTTTGGAATCAGCGTGCTCGAATTAATAAGGAAAAATTATTTTTGCAACTTTTTTTTTCTTGATTTTCAGAAAAAATGTCATAAGGGGGGACCCTTTTGACAAAAATATCGCGATTTTCGAGTGTAACTTCGAAACGGGAAGAGATACGAAAGTGCGGTTTGATTTTTTGGAATCAGCGTGCTCGAATTAGTAAGGAAAAATTATTTTTGCAACTTTTTTTTTCTTGATTTTCAGAAAAAATGTCATAAGGGGGGACCCTTTTGACAAAAATATCGCGATTTTCGAGTGTAACTTCGAAACGGGAAGAGATACGAAAGTGCGGTTTGATTTTTTGGAATCAGCGTGCTCGAATTAGTAAGGAAAAATTATTTTTGCAACTTTTTTTTTCTTGATTTTCAGAAAAAATGTCATAAGGGGGGACCCTTTTGACAAAAATATCGCGATTTTCGAGTGTAACTTCGAAACGGGAAGAGATACGAAAGTGCGGTTTGATTTTTTGGAATCAGCGTGCTCGAATTAGTAAGGAAAAATTATTTTTGCAACTTTTTTTTTCTTGATTTTCAGAAAAAATGTCATAAGGGGGGACCCTTTTGACAAAAATATCGCGATTTTCGAGTGTAACTTCGAAACGGGAAGAGATACGAAAGTGCGGTTTGATTTTTTGGAATCAGCGTGCTCGAATTAGTAAGGAAAAATTATTTTTGCAACTTTTTTTTTCTTGATTTTCAGAAAAAATGTCATAAGGGGGGACCCTTTTGACAAAAATATCGCGATTTTCGAGTGTAACTTCGAAACGGGAAGAGATACGAAAGTGCGGTTTGATTTTTTGGAATCAGCGTGCTCGAATTAGTAAGGAAAAATTATTTTTGCAACTTTTTTTTTCTTGATTTTCAGAAAAAATGTCATAAGGGGGGACCCTTTTGACAAAAATATCGCGATTTTCAAGTGTAACTTCGAAACGGGAAGAGATACGAAAGTGCGGTTTGATTTTTTGGAATCAGCGTGCTCGAATTAGTAAGGAAAAATTATTTTTGCAACTTTTTTTTTCAAGTTTTTCAGAAAAAATGTCATAAGGGGGGACCCTTTTGACAAAAATATCGCGATTTTCGAGTGTAACTTCGAAACGGGAAGAGATACGAAAGTGCGGTTTGATTTTTTGGAATCAGCGTGCTCGAATTAGTAAGGAAAAATTATTTTTGCAACTTTTTTTTTCTTGATTTTCAGAAAAAATGTCATAAGGGGGGACCCTTTTGACAAAAATATCGCGATTTTCGAGTGTAACTTCGAAACGGGAAGAGATACGAAAGTGCGGTTTGATTTTTTGGAATCAGCGTGCTCGAATTAATAAGGAAAAATTATTTTTGCAACTTTTTTTTTTCTTGATTTTCAGAAAAAATGTCATAAGGGGGGACCCTTTTGACAAAAATATCGCGATTTTCGAGTGTAACTTCGAAACGGGAAGAGATACGAAAGTGCGGTTTGATTTTTTGGAATCAGCGTGCTCGAATTAGTAAGGAAAAATTATTTTTGCAACTTTTTTTTTCTTGATTTTCAGAAAAAATGTCATAAGGGGGGGGGACCCTTTTGACAAAAATATCGCGATTTTCGAGTGTAACTTCGAAACGGGAAGAGATACGAAAGTGCGGTTTGATTTTTTGGAATCAGCGTGCTCGAATTAGTAAGGAAAAATTATTTTTGCAACTTTTTTTTTCTTGATTTTCAGAAAAAATGTCATAAGGGGGGACCCTTTTGACAAAAATATCGCGATTTTCGAGTGTAACTTCGAAACGGGAAGAGATACGAAAGTGCGGTTTGATTTTTTGGAATCAGCGTGCTCGAATTAGTAAGGAAAAATTATTTTTGCAACTTTTTTTTTCAAGTTTTTCAGAAAAAATGTCATAAGGGGGGACCCTTTTGACAAAAATATCGCGATTTTCGAGTGTAACTTCGAAACGGGAAGAGATACGAAAGTGCGGTTTGATTTTTTGGAATCAGCGTGCTCGAATTAGTAAGGAAAAATTATTTTTGCAACTTTTTTTTTCTTGATTTTCAGAAAAAATGTCATAAGGGGGGACCCTTTTGACAAAAATATCGCGATTTTCGAGTGTAACTTCGAAACGGGAAGAGATACGAAAGTGCGGTTTGATTTTTTGGAATCAGCGTGCTCGAATTAGTAAGGAAAAATTATTTTTGCAACTTTTTTTTTTTTCTTGATTTTCAGAAAAAATGTCATAAGGGGGGACCCTTTT